AGGATATTCCACCATAGGAAAAGGGATGTGATTTGGTATAAATATCGAAGCAGCTCCAATCTTATATGTATCTTCATTTCTTGTCATTTTTATTGCTGCAAGTGGCAATAAATTGATTTGATGCATTGCAAGCTTCAACTCCTTCAATAAGCTTGCATTTATGCCATTGTACTCTTCATTTTAAGAAGCTCTACTATGATGACATTTAAAAAAAAATGTCTAATATAAGTGAAGACAAGCAGAAGGGAGGACTTAAGAACAAAGAAGATACTAAGAACAATATTAGTTTAGAAGAGGATAATTTGCAACTTCTAATACACTTATGTCTTATTAAGACAAAGGAGTAATCTATTCTTAATCAAGAAAAGACAAAGCTAATATTGTAAGTATATTCTTGTCAATTTGTCAAGGACATAAACTAAAAAAAGATGCATAAATCTAGAAATCTATGTCAAAAGAAAAGTGAAAAAATAAAAATAAAGTAGTATGTATATTAAAAAAAACTAGAATGACTATTGCCAAAAGACAAGAAAACTAGAGACTTTTAAATCTAGACTAGAAACAAGAAAGGAATTGATAAGAGTAAAGAAGGCTTTACTCTTGCCTCTATATATACTATCTAACTAGGGACTATGTGGTGATATTCTATAAGACCTCTAATATGTGTTGACTTTGCAAGACACATGCCTTAGCTTACAAAGCAAGTTTTCTATATGTGTGCCACATAATTAGCTTATTCTTTAAGCTACCAACATATGTGGTACATGGCTAACTTGTTGATCATATTTCTAACCTAAAAAATCAATTATAGACACCTCTGAAGTCAAAGCAGTGTCTAAAGCTTCTAAGAAGCTTCAATAGAAGATATTATAGAATTAATCTACTTTTACCTACTTTTATTTAATTATATAGGTAATTATTGGTTTACATGTGTATGTCCATAACAATAGGTAACAAAAAATAATTTGGATTTTTAAGATATTGAATAAAGATATAATCTCTTGATATTGGCAAAAGAATTCTACAAATATTTTTTACAGAGAAAATGGATCCTTTTAGTATCTTGAATAAATTTTTAAAGATAAAAGATTATTTAATTCTATAAAATTAGATATAAATGCTAATATTTCTTTTAATAGAATCACTTTACAAAGCAAGTCTAATTTCAATATACTACAATCAAATAAGTTTTTTGTTAATATAATCATAATGGTTATTAAAAATGTATTTAAAATGAATTTTTTTTTTTTTCATTCACCAATAAACCAATTTAGTTTAATTCATGCTTCTTTAGTTCAATTATTTAGACTAATATCAAATGATAAAGTGCTTATTGTCCAACTAAAATATTATAGTTGGTGGCACTAATGATTGTATACTTTAGAGACAAATATAAATAAAGTGGTTTAGATCTAGTGTAAAATATAAATTGCAATGGTTGCTTGATATAATTGGTAGCTCACTTTGTACCTCCTACTAAAGTAATAATAATAAAAGAATAAGATTCCAAATCTTTAATAGTAAGACCTAATTATTAAATAAGCCACTTACCAATTATAATTAGTTGAGTGCCAAAATCCATCATAACATGTAAAAGTGTAGCATAAGTGTTATTGCCAGTGATATAACTAACAGAAAGTATATTATTTTTATTAACTAATTATATAATTCTTAAATATAAATTTTAATTTTCTTAAGCAAGTCTAGCCATAATGTCAAAAAAAAAATACTATCCTTGTAGCGAATGGTATCTCACTTGAAAGATTTGTATTTATTTTCTTAAAGTCACATTCACCAAATATGACAATAGTTTCAATTGTAAGCTTTGCTTGAACTATTTATAATAAAGTGGATGCACTACTATCTAAGGCTATTACTACTTTTTTTTCTTTTACTTCTTCCAAAGATGTCCTAACTTTTGCTTTAATAAGATCTTCTTCTTTCACCATACATATTATGCTTAAAATAATACTTCCTTTAAAAACTATAATAAATACTATTCTTACCTTTCAATAATGCTCTACTTTTTACAATTCAAGTGTCTGTACTTTATTCCATCTTTTGTAGGTTTGAAGTGCCTCATGTTCCATATATTGTGATAATAGCTCAAAGACATAATACTTATTGAAAGTGGAAGATCTTTGATACTTTTCTTTCATCCTTAGTTAAAATTTAAGCATCTAATTTGATAAAGAAATATCCCTAGTTTGTCTTAAGAACCAATCTCTCACCACGCTAAAAGGATCCTCTTCCATCTTATAAAGTATGTCCACATTCAAGATCCAAAGCCTTTTAGTGATATCCAATATTGAAATAGGTTGAAAAGTCTTATTAGTATTGACTACTAGCTCAAAGTCTTGGATGTGGTAACTATCTAAGTAGTTTGGTGGAGGAGACCAATAATATTGATTCCTAGTACACTACTTAGATACCTACAACTATCTAAAAGCTAAAAGAACAACTTGTGTTTGCAACCACAACCAAGCTTAGTAATTCATTGATAATCACCTCTAGATTATTACAAGTCCAATATATCCACAAACAAAATGATCTTTTAATCCAATTTCATTTCTACAATATGTCTATCAACATTAACTAGTATAAACATAAAATCAGATAACCAAGAAAAACCTCTAAAAAAAATACTTGCAACTAAGAAAAGGTACTAAAAATAAAATCTACATTTATTTCAAATAATACAAAAATAAAAATTAAAAGTAAATTAGAATAATTGGTACTTTTTTTTAATTAATGATAAAAAATTATGCAACTTGTGGTAATAAAGGACAATTGTAACAAAATAAAATATAAAAAAGTAAGAAAAAATCAAAAAATTACTTAAAAAGAAATTGGTATTTAATAAATATTATTTTATTGCTCTATTTAATTTCTACTTTAAAAATCAAGAATAGCAATGGATTCATTGGATCTCCTATATATAAAATTGATTTAAAAATGGTCAAACTTAGAATGAGCTTTCAAACTTAATAGTTTTAAGTTTTAGTTTTTTTTGGTTTTTTTTGGTTTTTTTTTTTTTTTTGAAAGTCCTATAATCATGCAATAGAACTTTGGTTGCTTTGGACCTATAATCATGTAAGTTTGTAACCATGAGGTCCTATCACTATGGAGCCTTATTACCATGAAATTCTATTCTTATGGAATATGTCACTATTCAAAGCTTGTAACCATGTGTGCTTGTGATTGTATCACAAGGATTGCTGCCATGAGCAGCCTTGAGCTACCACAAACCAATTTATTTCTCTCTTGTAAATTTACATATAATAATGCATAGCACTATTCTTGCATATCAAAACCTTGGATTGCAATAGCAAATTTGTACTCCAATTCAAATATAATAATCAAATATGAATAAAATAAAATAAAAAACTATGCTATACTTGTTCTAATTTTCTTATGTCTTGTATTTTGAAGTCAATCTTTGTCTTATTCATTGCAACAAGAGTTCTTATAATTGACCACTCCTTCCAATCAAGTTCTACTTGGTGCCACAATCTTGTATCATCTCATCCAATGTTGCATCACTATTTTGCAAGTAAGAGCCACTTTTTGTGCCACCTCACTTAATATCCCACCATTGCCCTCAACAAGCTCCAACGATTGTACCTTTTTTGTACTAATAGGCTCCCAAAGCTCCAAATTCTTATAGTTCAATGTCTTCAGTCCAACAATATTATAGACAATGTATTGATTTTAATATTTTAATGTCCAATAATACTCTTGCAATGTATCCTAACCACATTATTATTTCTTTATACCTCCACAATTGCGTCAAAACTACAATGCTTAGTTCAACTAGATTTTAACAGCCAACATAGTAAACCAACAGTAAGTTCTCTCTCTCTCTCTTTCTCTCTCTGAAAATCACTCACAAGTCTTGATTCAATAAGCATGTCAAGTCTAGAGGTTTTTTCGCTTAAGCTTTTTTTTGTTAGTTGACTTTATTGATGTCAACTAGGATTTGAATTCTAACAAATGGAAAACCACTAAACCAAATTAAACTACTTACATCTAATGGGCTTTGGCACTTGATGTCACATCACATAACACTTAATTTTTTATGTATTTAATCTAAATTTAAATTAGATAAAAAGTAATGTTATAAAAGATAGCATTTTTTATGTAAGCTTTATATATTTTTTAAAATAGTTGCTTTTTACAATTCAATTTGAAAAAGTTTTTTTTAAAAAATATATATTACTTTTTATAACAAATTATAAATTAATTAATTATAAACATAAATATTAAACATCATAGTTTTAAATTTTTTATTAGAACTTATTAAAAGTATACAACAATCATTATTAATCAAATTAAATTTCATTTGAAAGATTCCAACCTCCAAGAAAAGTCTTAAAAAAGAAGATAAAAAATCTTAAAAATAGTTGATGATGAATAGTATCTTTATTTGAAATAATATCTCAAACTATAAAAATAAGATGTTAAGTGAATCACGAGATAATATAAAAATAGATGTTTTAAGATACAAGTTTATACCTAAGGAAGTTTATCTTTGAATGAAGGAATATTAATGTAGGACTTCAATTAGATAATAAGAAAATCCAACATTATTTTTTAGCACCTCTACAAATGAGAAATGCATGTATAGGCACAAATTCAAAATATGAATTGGTTGACTGATAATGCTAATGTTAATATGTTGTGTGTCAAAATTGGTGTTAAATATTCATCCTTGAAATTTTATGTATTGTAGGTAACACTTGCTACATTGGAATCTCAACTAAAACAAAATGAATTAGGATAAGGAAATAAATAGAGAAAACTACAATCCTACCATGAAAATTTAGTATTTCTGTTGTTTTCTTCAAAACTCAAACAAGATTTGTCAATTGTACTAGATTATTCCGTCAACATTTAACAGAATTTCAAGCAAGTGTCATCTGAATATGAACTTCCAGTTAGTAACATATTTGAACACGTAGAAATTATCATCATGAGCATGTCATTAGAAATAAGAAGTATCAGGGGATAAGTTGGTCAAAGCATCATTTGCTTCGTATGTCCAATTCAGTTATGAGTTACAACCTCTACAAATTTGCTGTCCAAGGCAGCACTCAATACCTTCAAAAAGAATTAGTTATCCTGTGTCGATGTTACACACGTGTAAAGTTCTGTACAATTCTAATTGACTCCACGTGATTTCCTTAGTCTGCTCCTCCACTACATCTGCATATTGAAAACAGTGGAATCAGAATAAACGAGGAGAAAGAAAGTTTCTGGAACCTGGCACTTCCTCTGATGTCAATGTAAGCTCCTTGCTGAAAGTGCTCCACTGCAGGTTGTCTTTCACTAAGGTTGTCTTATGTCTAGAGCAGATCCTCAAAAATGGTTCCAGTAGTAGGCGATTTCCTGATCAAACATACGCCTTAACCACCCGACCAAGGCGAATTAAGAAGCCCTGAGATGATGTACTAATGAAGTACTTGTCTGCGTATTTACTTGGATATCAAAATGTTCTCTTGGCCCAGTGAGAGCTGTAAGTTCGGCATGTACACGTACGCTGGCTACGTTTTTCGCATCCTCAAAATATTGAGCGTTGTTAGAAAAATAAATTTCTCCGCAACCCATTGACATTGGTATCTGGAAGTCTGATTTGGGCGGGTGAGGCTAATCCATCGGTCGGTAGTGGATGTTTTGGGAAGTGCTCAGAGGAGACAGAACCATCAGACGAGGACTTGCTCCTAGGAGTTGTTATGATTGATCCCTTCCTCACTTTGAAGAAGTCCTTGATGCTTTGCTGGCTTGAACTACTCTCTTGCTCACTTTCTTTACGTTTCGTCCTTTTTCTTGTTGCTTTCGCCACTTCCTTCGCCGCCTGGGGATAAGAACGAGAGAGCTAGTTCACATCAAAACCTTCCATTGCTATTGCTGTTGGATACTTAATTAAAAGGAAAACGGGCGAAAAACACCAAAGTCTAGGTTAAAGATTTAGTTTCTTTCGTCTACCTGCTCTTGTTCGAATGCTTCCACAAGCTCTGGACACGCGGCCTCCACCAGGTTTATGTCCTCAACAGTTGCAAATACAACCTCATCGTTACCTTGCTCGGCCTCTATAGGAATGGTATCCACATCTACGGTTTGGTTAATATCACAATCTGTGTCTGGGAGAAGATCTGTCAAGTTCCCCAAGGAAACTGACGTCTGCTCCTGGGAGCTGTTCTTGGTCTGGTTGCCAAGCCAGTTGCACCCTGTTGAGCTCGCCAAACTTGTCCATTGTAACAAGTAAAACTCTCTGGATTTTTCCACTTTAATGCGTTTAATGGAGTGAGGAATGAATCGCCCAAGGATGGTGTTTTCAAACGGATAGTCATTCCACATCTTGGCCTCGCTCTGATTTCTTGCTGCCAATCCTTTGAGACAAATGGTGGAGAGGAGTGGGAGCATGCGCTGGCGCACAAATGAGGTGTCCCAGTGCAAATTTATATGCAAGAAGTCTTCCAGAAGCTCCATCTTTGGGATGCGCCACTTAATCAAAGATGAGGGTGAACCTTCTCCTACAATATTTATTTGTACTCCCGTTTTATCATTCAACCTCAGGATTACAAAAAATAATAAATAATAAAAAATAAAAAATAAAATGATATGGAGACTACATTCCTCTCAAAAGATCTTGAAAACACTCGAATTCCAATTACAGAGGTGATTCGAAGAAACCAAAATCAAGGAGTGAAGTAATATGTACCTGCGAAATTACTACAACCAGGCCGCAAGAAAATATTAATGATGTCCTCGTTAGGAAACCCATCACTCTTTGCCATCTTATCGCAACACTTAACCCACCAGTTTTTCTGTCGTGTACTTTTTTTCGACTTTTTTTTCTGCATTAGACTTCCGCTCAAATCATGGTCTTGCTGACTACAAAATTGCTACATACATGTAATGAGTAACATAATGAATAACAAGCGTACAAAATTAAAACCGATTAAAACCACACAAAACCCAAACCCAACCCTAACTGGCAGCAAAATCCTCATGAACTCTGAATCCAAGGATGAATGCTAGAGGCTGCGACGTACTTTTACACAAGCCTCACATGCGCATTGGAAGCCCTTTTCTTTTTGCAAACAACCCCACTCTGTAGCCTCCGTTCTATCAGCAACGCCCTTGCAAAATGTACAGCCAGCTACAATATGCTCTCGCCTGGTACCTAGGTGCCCACAATTACCACAATGACGTAGACTTTTCTTCGTTGACATTGAGGTGTTAACGGAATCAGGTTTTCTGCAAGAACTTTTGCCTTCATCATTTTGATCCCCATTCGCCTCACTATTGTCGTCTTCAAAATCCAGAAGACAATCTGGTGTGTGTTCCCCTCCACCCCATTCTTTCAATCTGGCATGGACGGGTGCATCGGACTTCAGAAAAATTAGCAGGTTATGTTTTTTTCTATTACATCCTGCAGACCAAAACTAATGTCTGAAGATCAATATGAAGAACTGATTGAAGTCCAACGAAATTTCTCCAATTCAACTGAAAATTACAAATTGTTGCATGAAAGACACGTAATACGCCCATAAGCAGAAGCAATTCATTGACACCCATGGCCACACAGACTGATCCTTCAAAAAGCACATCGCTACGCTTAGCAACAGTAAAAAAACTATCCAATCACAAACATCAGTACGACTTGCTGCATATTTGGAAAATGGAGAGAGTAAGATGAAGTTAGCATTAAACTTAAAAACACAAGGCACATTAACAGAAGAAGAAACAAAAGACAATATGATCTACGATAAGACAACATCCACAGTGAAACTCTGGTCATTTGTTCACCTATCAAAAACCTTATTACTGGAAACGGAGCGAACAAGTCGTATAGCTCGATTGCATCCAATCCCCACAACTCCCTTCTTGTTGTAATCACAGCCCATTAATAGAGCTAATGCAATCATATGCTCCCTGTCAAGACCAAGAATGGTCTTGATATCTTCAGCATCATATGTCTCTATAATTGGAACCTAACAATGCGTGCCAAAAACTGTTAGAACTCCAAACATGAAACCGACATACCCACATTCTTCAGCTAACCTGCACGTTTGACTGAACTATATAGCTAGCTAGCTTTCTGCAAGGTTGCGAGGGCAAAGAAAAACCCCGATCACGAGTACCCGCATAATGAAGCTAACATTTTTTAAATTTCAAACAAGAGTTTAAGAAAAAAAGTATTCCTTCAGCCTTCACTTTAAGAATGGACTTGCGTGTCCGTGGGGCAAATCAGGAACAAAGAAAAGGAAGAGATTCGAACCTTCGAATCCATTTGCAACACTTTAATGACGCATCTCGCTCCATGCAAAAAGGCGTCGCTATCAGCAGTTACGCAAGCATCCACCAAACCATCGCGATCAAGTTCAGCACATAATCCCTCTGCCTCCCAGGCTGCGTGCAGTACCGGCATTCCCAGCAGTTCTAAAAGCTCCTGGCCAACCAAAAGCAGCATTGTAAGATGTAAACAGTGCACAGGAGAGATTAATGGGGAATAATTCTTTGTTAATATGCAGAGCTAATTGAATCATAGTTTGGTTCGAGCACCACTCACCACACATTCGTCAATTCTTCGTTGAAAGCCATTATTGCATGCGATGTTAGATTCTCCTGTCACAAATTCCTGTGGATTCGGCAGAATGTTTGAAGTTGACATAAGGGTCAACCTCTCCATGCGCACAGCAAGCTTCTCTGGAGGAAAAGTGCCATCGACAACAAACACTGGTAGAACCCCTGCCTGCAGCTCAATAAGAAAACGTGACTTAGTTGCCATCAATTGCTACATGGCATGCGATGATTATCTTCGCTTTGCAACAGCATTGAACTTCTTATGCAACCAGGCGCATCATCCATTTATAGTAGATGACCTTCGTCACACTGAAAAAATGAAAGGTGATGGTGTTGGCGATTACTCGAGAAATGAGGTTCACAACACGAAAGAGGAGGATACGAAGGTGAGGCTTTCGGACGAGGCCACCCACAGCTGTTTGCTGCTGGACTACCCAATACGATAGGTCTACAGCAAGCCGTTTCCCATGCAACCAGTCGAGCGATTTCCTCTTTGAAACAACCCGGAGCTCATCCCAAAATCCTCCCCTCACTCCCATTGTTCAATGTGGGTTCTGCTGCACATGTATTTCCGTGCATTACTTTTTCTCGCACATCTTACAGCTGGACTTCAAGTGCAGCTGTTCTTCTGTGCACTCAATATTCGTCAAAGTCTCCTTCAAAATGCTCAACCCTTGGGATCCATTTCATTTACACGGCTACATCAGGAATCTACATTACTCTTTTTTGAACCCACACATTTAAGCCGACCTTGAGAATCTTCGACACATATAAATCACGGTACTTCTGAAAAACCCACTTTAAAATTTCGTGAAATATCCTACATCCACCCGCTGTGTGCAGAAACTGTCAACGAAAACCTCTTCCCGTCCCACAAAATGCACCAACGACGTCGCTGAGTCGTTCCCTCAAAACTCCACACAACGAATACCCATAAGCATTGCGGTCAGCGAGAGAGCGCACCACAGGTTAATAAAATAGCGTCTGTCAACACACGCTCTGGCGAGGAAGGAAGGAAGAGAGAGACGAACAGTTAGTTCGACGACAACGGAGCTCTCAATCGCAACGTGAACGGAGACATGCAACGGCACTCTGTAACGGATCTTTCGAGACAGGAGAGGAGCCTCATGGCCCCTTCAATTCATCCGAGCTGACTGACTGGGTAGGGACTGCGGCGTCGCGTCACGCATCTGGAGCCAGCGAAAGGGGCTGCCACGCAGGATCACGAAGATCGCATTCAAGAAGCAAGCAAGTACTACATAGACAGAAACAATCCGTTCAAATCCTTCAATCCTTCAATCCAATTCCTCGACATCGAGACCTCCGCCCTCCGAAACACCGCGGGGAGCCCCGTCCGAGGCGCCGGTTGGGAACCGTTCCCCACGGCATGTTCCCCCGCCGTCGGGAACACCCCTGCGAGTGGGCTTTGTATTTTATTTGGGTTTCGTCGCATCCAGCCGCAGCGGAGATACCCATGACCGTGTCTTAGAAATTTACCCTTTTTTATTTGTTTATTTATTTATTTATATACCCTTATTTGTTCATGATAAAGTTTGATAACGTCAAAATAGACGTTTTGAGAGGAACAGATTAAAATCAGTAATCACCATTTGATGATACAACTTGTGAATTGGCCCCTTCATCCATCTATGTGCTCATCCGTATTTGTATTGAAAAAATAGATAATTTTGACAGCTTTTATTTTGGTTGGGTGATGAAATTAAGAATAAAAATTGATTCTGTAAAGAAGGAAATATAGGGGATTGTAATGCATATTATTTGATTGGAGTGTTCATCGGTGAGGCCATCACACACATACTATGAAGAATACTTGTATGTATCACTCAATGTTGTTTCAGCTAGACAGAAATCCTTTCACATTTATTCCTATTTCTGTATATATATATATATATATATATATTTTAAAAAAAATCTCAAAAAGTCATTCATTTACATCTTACAAAAATAATACAATCTTTTGAAACTTGGAAACTATTCATTATAAATACAATACTATCTTTCTCATACATAGTATAATAAGTGAAGAATTTGGATACATTGATTTATAGATTTTTACATAAAGATTTTTATTGACTTAGATTAGACTTTTTTAGTTATGTTTTAGATTTTAAAATGTATTCATTTAAATGATTAAAACATACAAGGTTAATTCTACCCACAGTTTGGAATAGAACTGGACAAGTCTAACTAATTCTTAAAAAACAATTTAAATTTAAAACATTTTGTTGTTCAAACTGCTTGGAAGAAAACAAAAGAATAAAACAGTATGTATTTTTCTTACAATTAATGTTGAATATTGAGTAAAATTAACATACAAAATTTCATTTCATACAATATTATTCTTAATTACTTGAATGAACTGATTGAAGCACAATTAACAAATCTCAAATAATACCACAAATATATATATATATATATATATATAGACAAAAATATAAGTAATGTGCTGTATAATCCATTACACTCACTTGCCATTTCTTTTTAGATTGGTAATCACTATCTCATTCTTCATTGTAGACATCATTTGCTTCCATGATTTCAATTCCCATATAGAATATATTTAGATTTTAATCATATTTATTTACATAGAAACATAATAAGATACATTAGAAGAACGTACACACTGTACGTTTTAATGATTCTAGCAAAAAGGCTGTCAATGGTAAGGATAATGATATTTCTTATTTTAGATCCAATGTCTCTATCAACAGTAATTTCTAAAACTTTATTTATGATTGGAGCATTATACCTTTAAATATCTTTTCTTTAATTCTTCTGCATACAAATTATAAAGAGTTGTCATATTAAACTTAGTCACTTGCTTGTACAAAGTGTTGTGCAAAAAGGCCCACACTATTAAAAAAAAAAAAAAAAAAAAAAAAAAAAAAATCCTATCAATAACATGATTTGAATGGAAAGAAAATTGTTAATTGTAATTTAATAACATTTTAAAAAATAGGTCATAAAAATCAATAAAAATAAATATAAGAAGTGCATTTCCAACTGGCAACAAACCTCTCCAACTATAGAAGACAAATACTTGCATGTAGAATGTATAATCATCTTCTATTATATTTACCAAAGTTTGATCCCATTTTGTTCCCGAAGATTATTATTTAATAACTAATGTCTTATCATTTTTAAATATTTAATTATTTTTGCAACCTTAGATTTTTTAATATATATATATATATATATATTTAAGCTATATATCTCTACTAACTATATCTCAGGTTCCTCCCCTTGAGAGTGTTGACTTCCTGGCTTCTAGTTACTACTCTGATATGTATAATTCGAGCTGATATGAGTGTCTGTAGTATGGGGGCGCTTTCCGCACAAAAAAACTTGTGCGTTTCTTGGAACAATGATGTTGACATACGGTGCTTGAACGGAGGTAGTTTACACAGGAGTTCAGATTTTATTCCAACGTCTTGGCATGGTGTCAGATTGATGGTGATGTGGCTCTTAACATATTGCTGATCAGTATGCCAAGCAGGAAGGACCTAGTTGATGAAGCGTTACTCCGGTAAAGCGGTCGTGTTACAAGCTATCAATCCTTGAGCTATGTTATTGGGAGACGTACTAGCTGTTTTCAACTTGATTTGAGTTGTAACAGGCAAATATGTGGGGTTAACAAAGCTCATAGATGGCCATGTTAGTCTGATCTTCCAGATTTATGCAGGCCAGGACGCATGGAGGTTCAAGTTGGAATCGGGTTGCCAGACGAGATCGGTCGCGTTCAGATTTTAAGCATCCACTCTTACCAGATGAAGAAAAACTCTTTTCTGGGTGTCGATGTGGGTCTTGAAGAACTTGGTGATCTTGTAGTTTCCGGGAGTTCAAGCCAGGTTGTGGTCATTGGTGTAATGCTGCTCGCTGTTTTGGAGGTCGCAAGCATTGATGGCTATTCACGTAAGTAGAGTTTGTCTTGTGCATGGTGCATTCTCGTTGTAGCTGATCAGCTGACTGCGTTTATTGGTTCAGCGTGTCGGACCAAGAACTTCAGCGTAGCAGAATAGGAAGGTGTATTGAAGAGTGCAAGCTCTTTTGCTCTAAACAGGTGATTGAATGTTTACCATTCACGAAGAGAGCTAGTTTTCTCGTCTTGCACGCAAATTTTAGGTTGTTTGTTGACTTTGTCATGTGCTTTGGATGACGTGCGGACACCTTTTTTGACTTTGCAACAGGTGGGGTCTTAAATTTTGGAGATGAGATGTAAGGCTTGTTGAAATTGATCTTAGAAGCTCACAGTTTGTTCATGGAATATGTCGTTCGGCGCTCATTGAACTGCATCCTGAAATTGTGAAGTGATTGAAACAAACCTCATTAGCGTGGCTTTCGACCGATGGAATATTATGGGGTATAGTGCTAGTAGTTCAGTCAGGATCTGGGCTTTTGATGAGGTCTTTGATTGTACGAACACATACTGTAGTGAGAATGTGCACTGCATATTTTTTCAATGTTACATCATACCTCCTGCTCTTGACTTCGTGTTTTCTTGTGAGGGAAGTGGATTTAGCCGATCTTTCAAAAGCAATGGACGAGGATAATACAAAAGTAAAACGGGAAGTCTTTTTGAAGGGTGTTGATGAAGTGGAGCCTGCATTGGGTGCAGGCATGAATACGCTGAAGATGTACTGGTTCTTTCTTGAAGGTACCCTGTTTTTACATGTGATTATCAGATACCCGAGTTGCATGTTCATTATGCCGTGGTTGTCTAATTCTTGTTTTTCTGCTTACTTTTTGTATCATTCATTCTGTTTGGTACTAGTTTGAAGATTCAAATGGTTGTTGTAAGGCATGCGTAGTGGAGTTGGGAGGATTTTTAGTGTATTCCTTCTCGGTTAACATGTTAAAGGAGACTTGTGTGCATACTATCCGTGCAGGATGTTCTGAGGTGGCCTTGCCCGAGTGTGTGCAGGGGTAAAACAGCACTTGCTGCAACCATCGCTATCGAAAGTGGGTTTCCATTCATAAAGATTGTAAGTTCAATGCCTTTCTATCCTGCTGAAAAATGTAGTCGCACCCTCTGTGATTATGCAAACCGATACGTCATTAATATTGAAAAGTTGAACATGCAGCGACACAAGAATGTGAAAATGTTTTCCTGCTTGAAGCTGGTGCTGGTTGTAATGGTATTTAACTTCACTACAAGTATGTATATCAGATATCTTCAGAGGACATGGTCGGCTGGGATGAGTCCAAGAAAGATGCTACGATTACAAAGGGACATTGCGTATTGATTTAAGGAAATACTCATTGCTGAACATCTTGGCATTAGCATCGAAAAGAAATTTGGTGGCTTCTGCACCTGCAATACTCACGTCTCGTGTCGTCTGGGTTGTGTGCATTTCTCCGTATGGTTTCATGACTGATGTTGGTTGCAATGGCTGTGCAGGTGTTCAAGGATGCTCACAAGTCTCCTTTAAGTGTCATCATCCTAGTTGACATTGAAAGATGGGAGCATTGGATTGATGACATTAAAGAATGAAAATTTTTGTTCCCAATTGATAAAGTATGTTAGCTTTCTGCTCTTGACAAGTGCAGGTTGGAGGGTGGGTAACCACTGGCCCCAATTGGTTGGGAAAAGCTACGTGAAATGTGATAATTACAGCATTTGAGAGCACCAAACTCAAATAACATTGCGGGATTATTATTTTTGTGCAAGTTGAATTAGTACGCCAGCATTGGCCCTCTTTTATCGAATCTTACTTTGCAGACACTTGGTCTGGTGAAAGGGAATCCTCCCAAGGTAAGTGGTCACTAAACCTTCGAATTAGGTGCCATTTTTAGATGTCGACCAGTAGATTGGGAAGCAAATGTGATGCCAGATGGGTTTGTTGCGATCTCTCCCACTAGTTGTCCCAATCACAAGGATCTTTCAAGGTGCGACTGAAGGTTCTCAAGTTGAGATTTAGCGACATGAACGAGGTATAGTTGTTCTTCTTTCAAATAGCAATTGGAACGTATTGAGGTCATACCTAAGAGCTGAAATGTCGAATTATTGAGAAGTGCGATTTTCAGATCAGCTGCACCTGTTGAGCTTGTGTTCATGTGGGATCCGGTGTTGCAGGTTTTGGTACCAAGCTCAGAATGTGTTTCGTCACACGGATGTTTATACTGCTCTTGGTCCAGAGATTGGTACCCAAAATCACAGCTTTTGGTCGTTGCTGGATGGGAAATAATATAGCATAGCATCTTGGGTGGCAGCAGTGTTCTGAGTCTTCTCCCCGTAATTTCCACTCTCGCATGCCTTGGTTTGTGTTTGCCTACTTGTTAATTGGTATGCATTAATTTCAAAGGAGATATATTTATTTGTCTATCTATTTAATTGTTCATTCACTTGGTCATTGTTTGAGGATGGTAAGATAGTCTTGTGAGTTTGAATGTATCCATAAAGTAAACCAAAATAACTACTTATTTATAGTAAGAAGTATTCATCTACCTAAGAATTAAGGATGTAAAAAAAATAAAAAGTAAAAAAATAAAAAAATCTTAACTTGGCATTCTTATTATGTCATGATTTTATAAGTATTATAGAGAATTTGGTGTTGTTAATTTTATTTTAAGATGATAGTTTAGCCATTTAGTATAGCTTAATATTTTCCATATATACTTGCATTCTTTAATTCTTTTGTAGTAGAATAAGAGATGCTTGACTTGTGCTATGGTTGTTTATTTCCTATTTGATAAGAATTTTTATCTTTTAATTTTTGAAAGTTATAGTGATTCAAAAGTAGAAAAATTATTTTTTTAAGTTATTTATCATTTTAAAAATTGATATTAAATCATTTTTTATTCTACAATAGTTATGCTTTTACAAATTCATATTCCACTTAAATCACTCAAAATTAATACTTAAATTAAAATGAAAAAGCCATGAAAGTGCAAGCATTTGCTTAAGTTAAGAAGTAAATTTAGGCCTTTTGTTAATATAATGCTACCAACATAATCTTATAGATGATAGAAGCATTAAAGAATAAAAAAATAACTACTATTTTAAGTAATATAATAAAGGCATAGCTTAAAAAGTTCTTATATAATTAGACATATTATGAAATAGGCCATGTTAAGAGTAATTCTAAATATTCTAAAAAGAAGAAAAAGAATTAAAATATAATAAAATCAAAACCTAAAGTAGTATTGATTAAGGCATGAAAATAGCCAAAGCAAATGCAATTGAAGAACTTTTAGTATAATAAGTGAAAACTTAATGAAGATCATTGCATTATTCTATTTCTGAGGAAGAAACTTTATTTGAAAAAGAAAAAGACTTTAAAAGCCAAAATTGCAAAGTTAAAAAAGTGATATAATGCTATGGCATCTTTGGACTAGGTTGCAAAAGCAAAGCCACTTCTATAGAACAATTCAACATCTTTTTCAATAGATGCATATATGTTTGGTGCATTTGGAGAAGTTATGGTGGTTGCTACTTATATCCAAATTGTAGCAAAAATTGCATTGCTATTGATAAATGTACTTGACAATAGTAGTAATCTTTATTATGCTAGATTACAAAATTAGATTGATGAATCTAAGCTACTTCTATTCTTTGGTATTGCCAATGCCATTAATTTCAATTACTTTGTTATTTTGACCTCAACACTACTTAAAGAAACTAGTGCCTTAGATTCATTACAAACTTTGGTTTATAAAGCATTAAAATTGTTTATATTTTTTTGTATAGAATATATAGAATTAGATTTCAAATCAACAAGAGTATTTTATTCAGAAAGTAGAATAGTAGAAAATAAAGCATCTTTATTATCTTTGAATGTGGAATAAAAAATGATTACTTTGCTTTTAGAAGAAGACTTAATAAAGTTAAGAATTAAGCTTACAACTAAGGCTACTATAGTATTTAAAAAAGATGATGTGCTATAGCTATCAATCATATTATTGGACAATGAATCTTTGATTTAAAAAAATATGGTTTATTTATCTAACATTGCTTCTAAACATTAGAATTTATATCCAAATATGATACATTTAAAGAATATTAACACCATATTAATTATCAATGACATTGGTAGCAATACTATCTTTACAACACCAATATGAGTAATGATAGACTTTTATTCCCAACCAAATGATAATTAACAAAAAAATTCCACAAGTTGTAGATTTAGACATTACTAATCTCGACCATTTTTTACTTATTATTGTCACCTTAGAAGGAGGCACAAAGAAGATAATCACTTATATCAAGTAGTCATTATAGTTGATATCTATATCAAGTGTAGGTTGTTGTATTTCAATATCACTTTCTAATGTATAGTAACTAGTTTTCTAGAACATAATTTACAAAAAATCAAAGAGTCAATATATTCTTATATTACTCAAATGAATACATAATTACTTATAGATGGTATAATATTAATCCAAAATAGCTATTAGTAAAGACAAAAAATTAGTAGCTCTTGATATAAGACTAAAGACAAAAAAGACATTGACAAGAACAAAGAAGCCTTTATTCTTGCCTTCATATATAATATTTAACTATAAGTAATGTAAAGATGTTCTATAGAACTTCAAACACTTGTCTAATTTGCAAGACATGTGTCTAAGTAATTATATATGTTTGTAGCATTAGAATCATAAATTTTAATATTTTTGTGGATGAATAAGTACTTTACTTCTTGAATTTTGGTTTAGACAATTAAAAAAAGGAAGCATAGATTAGACCATAGTGATCTATAAGTCATGGCAAAAAAAACTTATTTAGATGAGGTTTACAACTATGGCTATAATTTTGGCAATACAAACTATCTTTGATTGCAATGCTTTGATATAGGATTTACCACGTAGTTCAATCCTATTAGAAGAAACAATTTCATTTATGTCTAGTTTTATTGAACCACTAGATACAACATATTTGAAAGTACCTTCAAAACATTGTGAGGACTTGCTTCTTCTTTAGAATATTAATTTAGATCTTTTACATTGGTATCAAGATATTATTATATTGTTGAGATTCTTAGATGTATCAATACATTTATATTTTTTTTCTTTTATTTAGCCTATTTAATGGCATTTGTCAAATAAACAAATTACTCTTGTGGACCACTTTGCAAGCATTGGTACCAATTTAGTGGCCAACTTAGAGACTAGATAATAGACTTGCACTTAATCGTATTATCAAATATCACTTGCAAAGGTTGTTGGTTCTTTACTATGAACAATTAGTATTTTTTTTATGTTATTCATAATTATTTTGGCAAACTCTTATAAGATATTACTCTCATTAGTAATGAAGTCTTGCGAAGGTGAAGCTATATGGACCTACTTATTAGAAGGTGGTCTTTCTAAGGTCATTCATGTATTGAAGTTGATTGCATGCTAAATAATTCTTACTTTAATCTCTTTGCAGATTTGATGAAGTTGATCTAATCAATTAATATCACTAAGGTGTATTTTTTTTAAATGTAACTTCTTATAAAAAATATTTGAACAAAGGTTTGCAAGGATGGTAAATACATATATAAAGACATATGGTAGGTCATCAATGTAGGTATGATTTAAAATGCTACTTTCCAAACCTATAAAGAGCATATTATTGATGAGCAAGAATAAATTATGGACTTTATTATTAGCATTACAATAATTCATGACCTCACTAAGGATTAATTCTACTCCTTGTTAAGCCAAATAATCCATTTCAATACTATGGTTTGAGTTTGTGGCATTTGTCTCATTATACAACAATATCATCATTATCATCCATTTATTTTAAGGGTTGATTGCAATAGTACTACAACTCATTGAGACGGAGGAATCAATATTATTTTTTTGCTTAAAACAATATGTAATAGAAGAGCTTTGCACTCAATGTATTTTTGATGTTTTGGCTTAGACTTTAGAAAAATAGAGGTCCAAGTGATATTATCATAGATCTTTATACATGGTACTATGTGTCATCCAAACATTGCCAATTTAAGTAAAAAAATAATAGAGATGAAGTCTCTTCATTAGTTGTAAGTAAGAATGTTGGATGCATTGAAGTTACTACTATTATAGATTAGCAATTAGAGATTGTGCTAGTATGCAACAAGGATCTAATGATAGAAAAGGAGAATATAGAGTTTGATGATTGGCCTTTTAGAATTGGAATTACAGCTTATAGATGCCAAAGTACAAAAAATACAAATATTTATATTTTTTCATATTGCAATTATTTTGTTTTTAGTCTTAACAAACTAAAAAAATATAAGGGCAAAAAATCTATATTTATTTTAAAAAATAGCCATCTAATCTTTTTACAACCTTATTAATTTATTCTATTGTAGAAATTTGGTGTTGAGACTTAATATTAAGAATTATTGGCCGCTAGTTTAATTGAGTCATCTAATGCTATGTATGCTTATGCTATAATTATGCCTTCTAAGAAGGATGTATTTAGAAGTTAGAGAGAAAAATGAATGTATGGATATTATTCCTTAGTTAATTATAAGACCAAGTCATATTTGTATCCAATGTTTACACCAAAGAAATTATTTGATATAGTAGAATTTTCTTGAATAATTAGTACTCTTAATTTGCAATGAGGTTACTATTAGTTGCAGTTTTTGGTAGATAATTAGATAAAGATAACATTTTGCAGAGTTAATCATAATGGCAAGGATTAACTCTATTATTAGAAATATCATTTATTTGGTCTCAAGAACACACCAGCTAAGTTTTAAAGGGTGATGGACCAAATCTTAATCTGCTTATTATTTGGCAAATGTTATATTAATAATGTTATTATCTTTAGAAGCAACCTCCAAGAACATGCTAGGCATTTGCAAATAGTGTTTGAGCAATTACAGTAGTGATTTTAAAGTTAATATGACTAATAATATAAAAAACTTTGAAAATAAATAAGTAAAAAGAAATACAATATTAAAAATTGACAAATGGGTGAAATATGAAATTATCTATGAAGATAAAAAGTAGTCTTAGAAAGAATATACCAATGATCGTAAAGTGGAGGTGAATTCATGATATACCATTAAATTATTGTTTTGACAAGACTTGACAATAATCTAAATAAGTTGAAACCAAATTCACCATACATCCTATCCATCCAAATGTGGTGATAGAGTCTACAATGGGTTATCTAAAAAAAATCTATCAAAGCAAATAAAGAAAGATTGTATTGAGGTTTATGTTCCAAAGCGATGCAGTTCTGTAGCTTGATGTATAAAAGAGTAAAACTAATATTAGCATTAACAAATTATCTATGGTTGTGTATGATTCTTTTACAATATGTGTGAACAATGTCAATTGCACTAATTGAACAATATGTACGAGAAGTACAAAAGATGTCTTGATGTACCGAATCAAGAGCCACTTTCAAAGCCCATTTTCCATCAAAGCTCATATTCACCTTCACTACTTAACACACTCTGAGCAAGTGCATATTCTGGCAACAGAACAGTATCACTGACCACAACCCACACAAAAATATATCCACAGTTGGAAACTACAATGTGCTTCTGGAAACCCTAATTCCAAGCCTCTTCACGTAAGGTTTCTGACGCCTCCAATGCTCACTGTTTCGCAATGGCAATAAACTTGAGGTTTCATGCCATGCTCGCTCCATGTGTTGTCCCAAATTGAGTGACATGCTTGAAGATTATGCAGAAATCTGTAAGCATGGTGGTAGTATTGGCACTGCAAGCTGACTTCGTCTTCAAGCGCATCGCCGATTCCTGTTTTTTTGCTCACGAATGTCACTGTAGACGATGAACAATGCAAATGTAACGGAGCGGAGAGGGCGTTTGACGTAGCTGGTGGCAGTAGGCAAGCATTTCGTTGCAAGGAAGGTTTGATCAGATTGATTGTTATCCTGTGCGCTATATCTGTAACGAGGAGGGCACATATGTGATCGTAAACGGTGCGATACCTGTCATTGGGAGGGAATTTTCGCCTTGTGCCGCGCACATGTGAGGATTCCGTCCATCGATCTCAGCAAACCGCCTTTCCGTCGCGTTTTCTCTTGCCGAACTCCTCGTCAAGTAGTTGGCCTTTTTAAACCTTGCATCACCTGAAAGAAAGTAAGAAAAGTAGAGTGAAAGAAAGAAGGGGGGAAGAAAGAGAGAGACTCAACGAATGGTTCTATGGTGCACACGGGGGCTGTTTGTGAAGGTGCTCAAGCTGTCACAAAGCTGATACGGAAGCTCAATTTGTTCAGGGCAGAAATCTCGGGTGCGACCAAAGCTACGTCACGCATCCATCTGAAGATGGAACCATGTCAAGATGGTCGTCATAGGAAACGAGAAAGTTTCTGGATGGATGCGGTGTTCTTCTTCTTCGTCGTCGTCGACATCGTGGACGAACCCACTGTACCTGGGCAATCGCCGTCCTCCCAATTTTGTAAAGAAGACACCGTCGTAGTCATGTTATGAACCGTCAGATCCTCAAGTGCCACATCCCTCACGTTCACCTACTTCCTTAAAAAAGAAAAGAAAAGAAAGACGCCTCTGGACACAAGCCTAGAGGCTTCCTTATTCGATAAGCATAGTAAGCACTTTGATCTTTCTGCCGTATCTTAATTACGGTGTCGATCGCAGCCTCTGTCGGTCCAGAATTCCTTTGAGCATCCAGGTTCATTTGGGTAGTTGAGTTCTATTTCATTTCTTTGTCACTGCAGGCATTCGGTGATATTTTGCGTTTTGAGAGTTGGGTTTTGGAGTTGGAGGAGGAGGAGACCGGAGTTGGTGAGTGGTGGTGGATTTAGAAGTTTGTAGAGCCATGGCAGCGATAACGAGGGCCGCATCGGCCTCTGGGAGGGCGAAGGGCATTTTGAATTCTTATTTTCTGCGCTCTGTGTCGACGACCTCGGCGTCCTCAACCGCCTTGAAGAGTTCCACGGAGCAATCCGACCCATCGCCTGGAATCACCGCCACGAAGGAGCCCAACATTAAGAAGTTTTCAATTTACCGGTGGAGCCCTGACAGCAGTGAGAAGCCCTACCTGAAGACGTATTCCATCAACACGAACGAGTGCGGGCCTATGGTTTTGGATGCGTTGATCAAAATCAAGAACGAGATCGATACTGGGTTGACATTCCGGAGGTCTTGCCGGGAGGGAATTTGTGGGTCTTGCGCAATGAACATCGGCGGCAGCAACGGCCTTGCTTGCTTGACGCCCATTGAGCCTGATCCCAAGTCGGAGACCATAATCTCCCCTCTCCCGCACATGTATGTGATTAAGGACCTTGTCGTCGACATGACGCAATTTTATTCGCAGTACAAGAGTATTGAGCCCTGGCTGAAGACCAAGAAGCCTGCGCCCGGAGGAAAGGAGTATCTTCAGACGAAGAAGGACCGACTCAAGCTGGACGGCATGTATGAATGCATCTTGTGTGCATGCTGCACTACCTCCTGCCCTAGTTACTGGTGGAATCCCGACAAGTATTTGGGACCAGCTGCTCTGTTGCAGGCTCACAGGTTTGCGTTGCTTCCGCACAGTCTACTTTGAAATTATGATTGTTATAGTCGTCTGAAGTGAGACTCGTACCATGTCTTCCTCTGAGTGTTGCCAATCATTGAAACGGGATACAATCTCCATTTTTTCTTGATTGAGTTAGGGTAGTCGTGATGATCAGTAACTGTATGGATTTCGGTTACAGCATTTTATTATCTATTGCAGGACTGCTGATGTGACCGTAGGTTTTTGAGGTTCATTGTTCACTTTAGCTCCCTGTTATTCTTGGCCGGTGAAAACTATCTGAAAAATTCAACCAGATGTTTTCGTCTTGTGAGGTGATTAGGAAAGGCCATCAAAGAAAAAGTAGGAACAGACAGGGGGACGTAAATCTCATCATCTTGCGTTTTTATTTTCCACGAGATACGGTCGAACGAACATCAAACCCTTCTCCTTTCTTCTGTCGAGGCACTTCAAGACACACCCTCTTATAAAACTCAAGATTAGAGTAATGTGTTGAAGTTTATGCTGCAGAAGTCTACCTAGTTGAGATGTTTGTCTAACCTAGCTTTTGAATACTACGTTTGCAGATGGATTGCAGACAGCAGGGACGAATTTACAAAGGAAAGGCTTGAGGCTCTAGACGACCCATTCAAGTTGTACCGGTGCCACACCATCATGAATTGTGCTAAAGCATGCCCTAAGGGTTTGAACCCTGGATTGCAAATTGCTGCTATTAAGAAGAAGGAGATTACAAGATAAGCCTAATAGTTCGGATGTATCCGCTTAGCTCTCCATGTCGTTGGAATTCACTATGTGGCTTAGTTGAGCATGGAGAGATGCATTTTGGGAGGGTTCACCGTAGATGTTCGTGTGAATCGTCTGTGTCCCAGGTATGAATGTGCGCCCAATGGTTGTATTTTGCGCTCAGCTTGAGGCATTCCAGGTATCGGGCTGTGGCGCAGGCCTAGCAATAATTTGATCATCTGGTTGCTAGTTCAGTATTTTGTGGCTTCCAGTTGTATCATTGAGAACTCTGAAAAGCTGTACAATCGCACCTGTGATTTCTTGGTGACGCGCTGAACTTGAAAGAAACTATTCCAGCTAATTGATCAGACACCCTCTTCATTTATATTCACTTCAATGTCGGGAGTTTCTTGCAAGCTTTGTATGGCCATGGATGTTTATAAAGTCGTTTTGTGATATTTTGTACATGCAGGGTCAGTTTCGACTTATCAGAGAGATTACTAATATCATCTTCACTTCTAATCCACGAAGTCAGGTGCTTGTGTGTGTTATTGCTAGTTTTTTGGGTTTTACAGGGAGCAATTTCAACAGTCTTATATCGGAATTGGAAAAGTGGCCGTCTGCTCAAATGAGCACATCGATTGTGTCGAAATCAATTGTTTCAAAAACGTGTGTGTCGAAAACAGTTGTTTAGTGTAATAAGATTTCCTAGTTTGAACGCGATTACATGTATAATTTCAAGTATGAGCATGCTTAAATTCTTCCCTTCATTCCATCTTTGTGTTTTTTTCATTAAATTCTGCGTTTAATTGCAATTTAGGTTGAACTTATTTGAATGTCAACCTCTTTCGCTTCTGTATTGATAAACTATCTTGTCGAATTAGGACTAGTTCATTATAAAACGAGTTTGCTTTTCCACCTGTGAACATATCCAAAGTTACACGAATTTATCTAGTATTTCTAGTTGCAAGATTTTGCTTGTAAGATGTTTCGAGTTTTCTGTTCATTCAAGGTAATCAAAAGAGCATGTTCTCTGTTCAACTTTCAACCATGTGCAGGTAGCATATATTTTATATGCATAGCACAAAATGTGGACACATTTTATAACTGTGCTCAAATTGCTCAAAATCAGCAAATCTTCTAACAATGGAGCAGCGGTTGTACGAGTACTTTCAGCATCTACTGATAATTCTTAAAATTTGAGAGTTGAAAAATCAACACATAGGAAGGGAAAATAGTTTATTCACACAATGAAATATTTATATTACATCGGTGTTTGTCAACTCAAGCTCTATTATCGAAATTTCATTTTCCCACTTTGCACTGTACTCAATAGATGGACTGAATCTTCTATCTCATTTACCTCCGCAACCAAGAGTATCCTATCCAACTGCTTAGTGACTGGGACACGGTAACCAAGCTACAGAAACTTTACTAGTGTTATGTAATGTGAGTGGTGGTGATAGATAACAAAGAACATCAAAGGAAGCAGTTGTCGAATAATTATCAGTTTCACTCTGTTGCAGAGCTTGCAACTGTTGCAAAAAAGCGATTTGTACTTGTATCAGCACAACTGGGAAATTTATATACCAGAATTGCACGGTTAGCAGTCTTAAACGGAATTTCTCGGCGAACAAGAGCCTGCATTGAGATTGTTACAGATTAGGCGCGCCCACGAAATATTAAAGATTAATTGGGGAACATGAGCTTTTCGTACAAAGCAATTATATCTCTCTTTGTCGCAGAGCTCTTGAGTTGTGCTACTTCTTCTCCATGCCCAGCTTGAGTCAGTTTTTGTTTCAGCTTTGCCACAGTGAATTTGTGATAATCTTCAGTCGTCATTGATGTGTTATTATCATTCATGTCTTCATTTGAATTATGGCCTTCGTGGTTTTCTTCACGGCTGCTGATATTGTCTGTTATACCCCTCATCAATGATTGTAAATTGTGTTTGTCGATTTCCATGTCCCCCACCTCTGACGTTTTCTCAATTCGCATCCTTTTGATACGAACTGTATGTTCACTGGGGGAGATGGTTGACACATCCGTATATGACTTCAGCTTTGTATCCAATGCAGTTTCATGGTTCCGGACGGACATAAGTTGCGTCTGAAGAGCGTCAAGATCTCCTTGCACAATTGTTAACTGGGCCGAGAGCTTATCGGCACGACTGGAAGCCTCCATTTTTGCTGCTCTTTCGCTGTCTAATAAGGCCTCAAAGGATTCCACCGTCTTGAGCCTCTGCTCATTTGAAGCATCCAGAAGCTTCTCCATTTCTCTTTCTCGCTCTTCAATACGAAGTTCAAGCGCTGTTATTCGGGAGAGCGCATCCTTCTCGGATATTTTTACATGCTCGAGCGTCTAAGCACCCACATTGCATGTATCAGCTTCTGTGATAATTTTCATGAAATGTCAAGGAATAAAACGTCATGACAAGAGTTTAATGTTAGAATATTTGTCCAGTCGACATTAGTGATACCTGAGTAAGCTCAACTCTCTCACGTTCAAGAGAATCACACCTCCGTTCTGAACGCTCAATAGTTGTTAGTCTTTCAGAAGCCAGTCTTTGAGACTCCGATTTTTCCCTCTGTATTGCTGATAATTCGTTCCGAGCTTTCTCCACAGCTTCGGACGCATATTTTTCCCTCTTCTCGGCAATTTTCCAGAGCCGTTCAGTCTCCTCCATTCGCTTCATAACCTCAGCCATTCGTTGCTCAGCATGTACTTTGTCTTGACATGCTGTTTCGAGGTCTTTTTGTAATGTCACTATCGTAGATGTCTTTGTTTCGAGTTCAGTATGTGAATGCTGCAATTCGGTTTTCAGGGTCATCAACTCCTCAATTTGACCTGTAAGCTTTACCTCTTGTTCCTGCATCCACCACAGAATAGGGATTCATGAAATGTACACATCCCCACAATTTGTTGTGTATATCCTCACTTTCGCCTCATTCTTTGTGCAGGAATGCAAATGTATAATTTAGACTCCAATCGCTTACATCCAAGAGTTGTGCAATATTTACTTCTGGAAGTACTTTACTTCACGTGTAGGTCATTGGACCTAATCGTGACACATACTTACATGAAGGCGAGATGATAGGATAGCTATTTGACGCTCTCCACGCTCAAACTTGGAGTGCAAGTCTTTTATCTCACCATCCTACGGGCAAACAATGAAAGAATTTTAGTGTTAGAAGACACCAAGTCAGTGGAATAAGTTGAGTCAAATGTGAAATGAATCACTGAATTGCATTTGCATTAGGATCAATAAAGTGCAAGACATTTAAACAGATCGTTATTTGCAGAACCACGATAACAGGAACTATGTATCGTGCCTTGGTCGTCAACTCCTCAATATCGTGCCTTCCATTGATAACACACGAGGACATTAATCACCGACTAATAACCAAATCACATGTTGAAGCAACGAATGCACTGAAATAATGTGTCCGAGTACCTTTAGTGCAACGGCAGCAGCAAAATCTGCCCGAAGCGCATCCTCCCGAAGCTGTGCCTGTTTCAGAGCCCTATCCTTCGAAACGTTGGCCCTTTCAATAGCAGCTTTAGTATCTGCTTCTACAGTTTCGTACTTATGTCTCCATTCGGTGGCTTCCTCTTTACTAGCCTCCAACTGCTCTCGCATTGCTGCCAAACGAGTCTCAGAGATCGTACATCGATTCTGCATCGCAAACAGCACAAATAATAACCTTGATGTAAGATACTGCTTCTTATAAAACTACGAGTATTTTCAAAATGCAGAATCGATGTATGATAGCTGAGACCCATTTACCAGAACAAGCTTGTTTTCAGCCGCACTCCTTTCTTGCTCCATCCGATGTTCATTCAACAGTTGCTCATACTTGGATCGCCATTCAGATGCTTCCTTCTTGATTTCATCCATCTGAGATGTGATTGTAGTGTGTCTCTCCTCCAGCGTCGTGATCCTCTTTTGCATAATGGCGTGCTGTGTAGCAGCACTCTCTGAGCTTTTCTTGGCGTCATTGACCGACGACTCGTAACGCTTCTTCCAATCTTGGGCATCCTTCTGAGCAGATTCCACTTGTTTGTGCCCGAAAGCAAACTTCTCCTCCATAGATTTGATCTGTAACTCTAATGCTGAATATTCTGCTCTAATCGTATCCTTTTCCCGCTTCACGAGGTCTTCTAAAGGCCCTGCCAAACTGTGGAGCTGAAAATTGTTAAAAAGGTGCAGTGAATATCTTCGAATATCTTCCGCCACCAAGTTTATTCGACTAGAAGTTCACAGAATTGACACAGCTTAGCCGATATTGCAACAGTATCCATTAAAATAGATCTAAATGCTGATTTACAAGTAAACTACACTTCACTCTCCGAGTTCTAAATGAAATTCATGTAAGAAAAATTGGATAGCGTTTGAGAGTTGATGGGGAATCCAAACCTATTTCGCAAAAATTTAACAAGTTTCTGCCACTTGAAAGATCCAACTGCCGATACCTCATACTCAGCCACCAGACCATCTATCACCTGCATGTAACATTCAAGTCGACCACAAATAAGATCTCTATTAAGACAAACACTTCAAGGTCTTCATTTAGAGAATCTCAACATGAATCTTAAACACCAAAAGTAGCTACAATTGAGCTGCCCCAAAGTACTAAAGCAGTAATGTCAAAATAACAATAAGAAAGATAATAATAAAACGAGAATTGTGATATGTGTTCGAATGAGGAGTAATAACACTACGGGTACAAAATTCATACCTTAACAACAGACTCAAAAGATGCATTTGGTGCATGACATGCATTTAACGTTCTTTCTTCCAAGCTGCCTGCGGCCCGCAAACATTGAAGCTCCGCTTCCATGAGTAATTTGCGTTTGTGGCTCTGAGAAAACCGCCGATGTTTCACCAGTTTTATCATCCATAGGTCTTGCATGCTTTAGAAAAAAACTAAACAAATTGCCTCTATATCTGCTGTCAATATGACTAAATTTCGGGTTCATAAATCAGCGATGCAGCATCTAGAGAATCACAGAGGATTGGTCGCAAGTGTCGCATGAACATGTTACACTAACCTCGAACTGTTTTTTTACTGTATTGTAAAGTTCCTTCTCATACTTCTTTCGTAATGTTCCTCCGCCCACAGCTTCAATGTTGAACGTGTTCAAGGCTGCTTGAAAAGCTTCTTCATGAGCCTCTTGCAACAAAGCCTGGCACAGACATGACAAATTAACATCATTCACATAACATGCTCACATTTCTATACAATTTATGGGTTTAGTTGCAGGACGAAAAAAATTCGTGACTGCAAATATCAAGACGTGGTTCAAATAACTAGACAATAATGAATAGCGACACTCAAAATCGCAGCGTCACACCTCTTCGGGCGGAATCGTTTTGTCGAAATCCTCGCTGTACGTTTTCACAGCCAACTCGTAGGCACGTCGACATTCACTTTCTTCTACACTCTGAAACAGATAAACAATTTCTAGTCAATAACATTTCGGAATAAGACATTTACAGAGAATCTCACGTAGAGGCTTGTATCGACTTCCATCATGACCGACAGTGAATCTAGGCATCATTTTATATGGGTGTCTGTGGATAAAGATCAACCTGCCAAGAATTAGCTATTGTTGGCACGGCCCCAGAATTGATTGCATCAAGAAATGACTGCGTGAGGCTAGCAAACATAGGCCCCGTCAATGTTATTGATCCGAGCTGTTTAGGTCCTGCCCTGTCAAGAATGTACTTTGTCAACTTATCTAATCCGGCCCGAAACTCCGGACGCAGTTTGTCCATCTGCAAATAACACACAAAAAAAACATTAAAGTCAACAAAGCATTGGTCATCAACCACTAAACGCGTTACAAACGATAAACACAAAAAATCCATCTCTACAAAAATCTTCCAACAATCAACACCCGCTCTGCTCGACCTAGGATGCGCTACAGAATACATACCATTGAACTAACAAGTTTGAGAATTTTTCCTCAATTACCGGGATTTCGTCAAGGTGCTGTAACTGATGCTCTTCTTCCAAGGGACGCACTAAAGTGAAGCAGTCACGATCTGGAAACAATGCTTTGATGGAGCTTCGAATCTGAATTTACGATAGATCACCCCTGGATCAGACAATTTTCAATATCCACCACGAGGAGGCTCCACCAAGCAACCTATTGAACTTTGAGAGTGCCAAAATTTAGCTCTCCGTAAATCACACAAAACGCAAAACTAGGAAGGTACATTAATCGTCTATCGTAAGAGTAAATGACGACCTCATTCTTTGCTGCGGCAGCTTTTCCAGTTCCTGGAATAGGCCGAAGTGTCGACTCCAGATAATCTCTAGGACTGATCTTATGCCCATCATCGACAAGTTCAAAGTAGAAGTCCTGATACACCATGCATAACCAAATAAGAAATGATTTACGTAGAAGTCCACGCGGTTTTTTTTTTTTTTTAATTCAGAAGCGAATATAGGAATACAGGAAGCATGAAATTGCAACTAACTCGTATGAGGATTAGATAATCGTGAAGACTGGTCACTACCATACTCTAAGATCAGTAAGATGTATCAAGTGATGATTCAAACGTAAAGCAGGGTATCATCCTTCAGCCACGCAAGGTGAGTTGTGTTGGAAGCATTATATTAATATATCATACCCGAAGGAGCCAAAGGAAACTTGGAGAAAACCGGCCAAGTTCATCTGGTGAGGTTACATCATGAGAAGCTCGTACTCGAATGTGTTTAGTCATTTCAGTGACCAGAGACAGATTGTCTAGTGCTGCCTCATCAATACCAAACATCTGCAAGCCACGACTTAAAATTCTGTCAACCGAACAAAAACAGAACATTTGATAATTAGTTTAATTTAATTGACTCTTAAATGTAAGTAGGCTATTGCTTAACCTGGTACTCCGATTCAAGGTACAAAAGATTTGGTCAACAATTTTGGAAAATTGGAGTGAATGACAGTCGAAAAGGTATACATCAATAGAACAACTGCAGGAATAGACTTTGTGCGCAAAGATTTACCTGATTATACACGAACATACTTGAGAGCAGTACAGCTAACGAGAAGATCTGCATGCTGTATTGCCCCTGCATTATGTGTACAAGCGCCGAAGCATTTAATGAGTTCCATGACGGACATAAATATTTTACGGGGAATTTCAAAGGTCGACTTTCAACTAAATCAACGCAAGTTTATGTAAACATAAAAGAGTACCAGAATTTTTTTTGTGGACTTACAGTTTGGTCCCAAGAGTCAATGCCTTCACTATCTAGCAAAATAAGGTTGTATTCACTTCCATCCGGAGCTGTTCGCTTAACGGGTGCACTCCACATCCAAAGTCCCTTGGTGCAGGGCTTCTGGGTAGACGCAACTTCAAACCCGCTGCTTCGTCCTAGCAGCTGATTTTGATCAAACGTTCATTGTTCACGCCCGAATTACGATTAAAAGTCAAAGCCGTGTCCAACTGATACAACTCATCATTTCCGTTTGAAATTTACAGACAACCTTACAAACTTACGTTACACATACTGACAAAAATGCAACGAGCGGGACAGCACACCAGCATGGAGAGTGTCCATGATTTTGAAGCAAGTAATAATAATCACAATACTAGGGCCCTAACTGGGGTTCTGAAAAAGAGACATACAACATTGAAAATTTCTGAAATCTGACAGTGTCACAAGGGATACCTGATTCAAGATGAAGCTTTTGCCTTGACGAGCTCGACCACATACAGAAACAGCGCCAACGGGTCCCTTGACGAGATGCAATGCAGCGACTGCTTCGGGATCCATTCTAAACTTCCCTCCCTCGTCACAATATACAAGTCGAAGAGGTCGTGCAGGACCCCTTGCCACATTGTTGCGTATACTTGAAGACACTGGAGGAGTACTCTGAACAACTACAGGAATTTCGGTCTCCATGTCCTCTGTGACATGACTGTCCTCATGTTTCTCGTCTGTGTGATGACCAAGTCCAAATATCTTCAACATCCTTAAAGGGGACGAACTAAGTTGCTTCGTTGCGCAAGCGTCACTGCTTTGGCAACAGATAGCTTCAATTACCCGACAGTTGATTATCTAATGCTCAACGCCATACCACTTCCAGTGCAGCGCAATATGAATTCGCCCAAGAAAGCACGAAAACACTACAGAGATAATAACTCCTAAATTTGATGGGATTCCTGACAAGCACTTCCACCGCCTTAGTAAGATGAAATCGAGTGCAACACAGTTGGCCAGAACATCTGAGACGTTACCAAAACTTCTTCAGTACAAGCCCAAAGCGGTCAGATTGCAAGGATCGAAATGATTCATGTTTGGTAGAGACAATTGAAACATAACTTGATGTCAACAAAAGAAGCTAACAAGATTCTAATCGCAAGCCATACAATTCTGGGGGTAACGATATTCAAATCATAACATAGGAACACTTGCTCAGCATGGCACACACTACATGTGGACCTATGGCACATTTGGCTCTACATTATAATGCAGCGTATCCATCTACTACACGGTTCCTAGCCCAAGTATTACCTTCTAATTAAACTTTCTTTGAGAAGTATTACAAGAATTTTAGATAGCAGCAGATAAGATGACATTATTATTCGATGTCGCCCCGTGCAGAAACTTTTGAGGTCAAAAAGATGAGGCGAACAGCATGTCATCGATGTCAGAGCAGCAGCACAACCGCTCTCAATTTGTTCAAGCAGGGAAGGAAGGACAATGTATTTATTTAAGCCGAACAATCCTTCAAGCGAGTTATTAAAAATTGAGTGATCGAGTTAAATACTACTAATGAGTAGATTCTGTGAATGGGATTGGACCACTGTGCCAAGCACATGAGGCGCTAATAAAGAGGTCAAATTAAACACCTTAATTCACTGTGCTTCAAGCGGGTGCAAGAGCAACCACAACTTCGTTTTCTCCACAACGGTTTAGGGGGGCTGATGAACTGTAAGAGGGAAAATACACATAGCTAGGAAGGCAGAAACTGGAGTGGAAAAAGTAGATCAAGAAATTTCATTCAGAGGTACGTAGCCCCTTGATTATCCAGAAAACCGTAGTCTGCTCTTGCATTTATAGCAGCTCGTCTATGTGATTCGCAAAAAAACGGACTCGAAGCATGTCGCGCGCTTATGAGACGTATGAAAATCTATGACATTTTCAAAATTCGAATGCGAACAACAAATATCCAGTACCGCTGTACAAAAACACGAACGACCTACTCTACACCACAGGACAAGCAGAGAAAAAACTCAAGACAGTAAAAGATCGTTGCATAAAACCGATGAAGCTCCAAACGACTGCACTTAACCCATGCCCGATGGCTTCTTCAAACCCGACGAGCACTAATGTAACGGCAAATAGAAAGGCCGTGGCAAAAAAGAACACGAATAGCTATAAATGCTTTCACTAGCTAGAGGAGTAACCGAGGTAAGCAACGACACCAAGCATAGAATTGCGACCAAGATAGAGCATTCACATTTTACCGAAACAGTACTCTAACAGTGATTTCAACGACCTGCACTCTTTGAAGCATTTCTGGTGCAATGTACACGTGAAGCATGCAACGACTACATCTCCTGCTTTACACTTTCTCTAAAAAAACGCAAACCTCTCCCCCTCCTCCGAATCGTCATCCTCTCCATACCTCAGAATTACAAATTGACAGTTACGGACTGCTGAATCTCAATTAAAATCGTCAACTGCAAGGCCTTAGAAAAGCTGCAACGGCGCCATTCGAACGCCTCCCTCTCGATCGAAACTGTTCCGTTACTCTTGCTCGAACCAGATGCAAAGCAAAACAAGATCAAAATGTACGCCACTTTCCACACTCTGAACACAATCGGCACCCCTCCCCTTAAGAACTGAAGAATCAGGCGTCAGGGGGAATATCTCAAGCATGGGAGCTCGGCGACAAGTGGAAACAAGCTCATGCAACAAACATACATCTCTCCTATTCTCATCACTCTTGTCCTTTTCACACTACCAGAACGGCCACGGTTCACGACATGTTGCCTTGACATCGGGGGGCCGTAATTGTCTGACGGCACCTGGAATCGGAACAGGTGTGGCTCCTCTATTCGCTGTGGAATTTCCACATTTGGAATCTATCCCTTTTTTTTAGGACCCGGCTATTGTGAGCAGACAATATTAATGAGGTTGATGACGTGGCGTGCATCCACACTCCAGGACGTATATTTAGTGTGGGCAAGTTTGTTTGAAAATGAAACTGCGGTTGGGCGGCCATAGGTGACACTAATGTCCATAGCTGCACACACAAGTCTATTGTGTGTTATTTCTTGGGTAGTGTTTTCTAGCCATGTGTCACTGACAGCTGAGTTATATTACACACAGATGGGTGCAAGGCATTGGTTTGCAAAGATCGTCGCTTGAAAATATCCTCATGCTCTTCTCTCAATAATAGCCCAATTGGTAACATAAAAATACATTGATTATGGTCTTTGAGCGATTCTACTCCTTTGAAGATTAGAGAAATGATTTGAAAATATAAAAAAGTATTTTGCATGTTCACAAGCTTCATGTTCATAAGAAATGATATCATTATATTACAATTATAAATAGATTTTATTGTAGATGATTCAAATTACAAGTTATAATCAAATTTGCATGCCAGTGATTACAGTGGAAATTTACAGAATTGTGGAATACAAATAGTATAAAAGGCTAATTTAACTATAGTTGTGACCACTGTCGTAATTAATACACTTAATTAGTATTGATACCAGAAAAAATTGCAAAACAAGCAATATAACATTCTGGTAGATTAATTGAAGCACATTAATGCTCTAGATAATATTAGTATTGCAATATCAAATGCAGGAGAGGAGTTTAAATTTTCTTCTACATTAATATGGGCAAAGTACAATTTTGAGCTTAAATCCACAAACTGAACTTCAAATCTAGAATAGTAAGTTGTGTTTTGAAATAATTAAAAGTTGAGAGTAGTATTCAAGGCTCAAAATATTATAAAACTTTTTAAAATATTGTACAAAATTTTATCTTAATTCTCTAAATATCCAGTTTAAGTCACTTCTATGTAATTAAGTTGTTTGTTAAATTACACTTAGTATGTGATATAGAATGTTCTAATATACATATAATTGTATAAATTTTTTACACATTCATTTTACACAAAAAAAATCATTTTTTATTATACAATTGAATACTCAAAAATATATATATATATATACATACATACATACATACATTTGATTAAATTATGTATAATGAAAACAAGACATACAAATGTCAAGTTTTAAGATGCTTGCAAAGTACATGATAATTAAGACATGAAAACTCTAAAAAATAAAAAGACTTATGATGATTTCGGTCTTACATGTATACACATTCCGTAAAGAAAATAGCTTGTTGTTTAAGCTTGTAAGGTCATTTTGTACAAACTATAATTATCTTATTTGAAAAATCATATAAAAATATTACTTGTTGTTTGATATTCTGAAAATAAGTTTATATAAATACTTTTTGGTTTTACTTTTCTATATATGCTTTTAAATATAGCACAAAGGTGTTTGTAAAGTTAAAAACTTTATCAATAAAATCCAATAAAAAAAACACACACTTAGTTGAAGATTATTGTTTTAATAAGTTAAAATCTAAAATTGGTTTATAAATCTACATGTATTTGGAATTCTTGTAGTTTCAATGTTTTTTATGATTTTAGATTTAAAATATTAAAAAAAATAATAATAATTTTACTAATAACAAGTTTAAAGAAGTATTTTTTTTATTGTTATTCAAAATAATGTATATGTCTTTCTTAATTTATTATTAAAAAGTTCTATACAAATAATTACATATATATATATATATATATATATATGTTGAATAGACCTAAACATTTACTAAATTGATCTATTCATCATCACAAATTGATATATAGATTCTTCAACTCTTCTGCATTATTAAAACTATTATTCACATTTAGATTGAAAGAATCATGATTTTGCAAAAATATAGTTCATACAATCATGAATATATGACTGGTACTAGTGGTCACCTATGGTTACAATTATTAAATACTCCCCTTTGTCTTGCCTTATCATATCTATAAGTTCTTATATACTCAATCTTCTTCCTACTCACCCTCTATTGTAGTATTATTATTTTTTTGGTATTATGTCTAATATGTAGAGAAGAGAGATGGAATTTTATATTATAGAGTTATTTGCATTTTTCAATAGAAACTAAGGTGCACATGTCCATTCTACTAGAGGAATATTTTGAATATATTAAAGAGATGAAAGATAATATAGATACATTTACATGTGCTTAACAATATTCCGTTTGCAAATGTTGCTTTTACAATCATTGCATTGATTTCAAATGTAACAATGGAAGAGTTTATTGTGAGCAAAATAATTATATTTTTCATTGAAACATTATAAGTTAATTATTTAGATATCCATTTGAGTTTCATGCTCATTGTTTGTTGAATAATATATAGTGGCAATTGACAATTTGGAATGGTCTTTATAATCATGGCCATTTTACTTTTTTCATAAGTTTTTTTATTTTTTTTATATGCCATTTATTTTCTTGACATCTTCAACCAATAGAAAAAGAAATGACATTATAATTTCTTGCTATAGGATTGGTTCCAAAAAATTGTTGTGATTGCCTTAAAAAAAAGAAATTTTTCTCAAGGACATGAATCTCAAAGAAAGAAAAACTTCAATACACTCTTGTGTTATTGAAAAGAACTAGAAAGCCACTCAAAGATGATATAATATTGAACTAGAATGGCTATTGTAAAAAACAAGAAGATTAGAAAGTCTTGAAATAAGACTAAGGACTTGAAAAGCATTAATAAGAATGAAGAAGGCTTTACTCTTGCTTCCATATATAAGCTTAACTAAGAACTACAAGGAGATGTACTATAAGACCTCCAAAACATGTTGACTTTGTAAGATACATATCTTAACTTACAAAACAAGTTTCTTATATGTATATTGCATAGTTACATTGTTCCGCAAGTTATCAATATATGATTAACTTTTTGACCAAGTTTCTAACCTACCAATCAACTACAAAGCAACGTCTATGAAACTTCTAGGAAGCTTCTTTAGAAGATATTATGAAAATAACCTACTTTTATCTAATCATATAGATATTTACTAGAGTATCTATGTATATGTGTGACATTATCCTCTTTTTTAGAGACAAGTTCTATGAAGAGCAGTCTTGATGTGTTAAAGAAATCTAAGATATGACGAATTATATTTGCTACATACTCTGATCTTTAAAGATGATTGAAAGGTCTTCTTAGCCATCAATCGTGTGTCATACCAAGGTGAGAAGACCACCTTGTTATTTGATTATTGTTGAGGCCTTTGTAACTAACTTCCTTCAAATAAAACATTTGAAACACCGATAGGAATTGTTCCTACCTCTAATAAAATCATCAAACATCGGGAGTCTTGTCTAAGGTCATGATATCAAACACATTATATCTTGCCATCTATTTGAGGAAGGACATGTTATTCTTGAAGATCTTCATCTGAATTTCGTCCTCTTAAAAGTTGAAACAATCATAATGTCTTGTTTGGTAAGTCCGCAAATGAAAGCTATTGAATTGAATCTACTAGTTGTTGGTTCTCCATCTTTTTAGCATTACAAATATATAAAAGCTACAAAAATAAATAGAAGGTAGAGTGTTATCTTTTTTTAATCTTGTTTCTTTTATAAAAAAGATTTGCTATTTTTTATGTTGATTTGATGGATGTCATTGATTAAAAGCTTCAATTCTCTTTGTTACATTTATAAGATTCTTTGTTAGCTCTCATGTATATTTACTAATATCAAATCCATATCAATGAACAAGATATTTCAACCTATTTCGGCATCGCCTTCAATCTAAGACTTCTTCTACTTCAAACTCTTGATTATTATCTATTTCTATAGAAAGAGGTGGCATTTGGCTTCTTCTTAAGATATTCACTGTCTTATTCACTAATAAGACAAGATCAAAGCCTATGATAGTCCAACTTGTCACAAAGACAAGTAATCTTGATATTGCAACAAAGTAACCATACCTTATTACTCATATTGAATTAAGGTTGTCTCTTGAGATAAGTATCTATATTAATTTTTTATTGCACTTAAGCTCCTGTCAAGGATATACACTAGGAAGTTGTAGAAGATTCTAGAAAATTTTAGAGAAGCTTTGTAGTTTATAGAAACTGCTTGAGAAACTTCCTAGTTTGTAGAAGCTACTTGAGAAGCTTCTTAGCTTGTAGTATATATAGGAGCCGAGACTAAGAAGATCGTCAGTCTCAACAATACACCTCTTAGAGCTCTAACTTACCTCTTTAGTGTTGTTCTTGTACTCATCTGATTAATCTAATTCTTGTCGACTCTTCTTGAGCTTCTTGTTTAGATTTCCAGTTAATATTCTAAATTCATGGTAGTTTATCGAGACTACATTGATCTTTCATATCAAAGCTAGTTCCTTCTTGTTAGAGTGTGGATTATTCCTCTCCTTGAAGGTGCTGGTATTTTAGAGATTGCGGATTATCCTCCACTAAATTGATATTTCTTTTATTATAATATTAGAGTCTTATCTTTCTTGGAGAGAGTGGATTATCCCTCTTCTTGAAGGTTTTAAGGCATTTTAGAGGTTGCAGAGTACCCTCTTTTAAACCAATACTACCTTTTTGTAGAGTCATTTCTTTCCTTCTTTTAGAATGGTCAGATGTTAAGATATTAGTATGACTGAAAGTTCGGAGTCTAAGTTGGATGCCATTATGAATGCTCTTGCTATGTTATCACAAAGAACTGTAGAGATTGAAGGAATCATTACAAGACTTCATAATGATGGAGCATCTAGGATGGCACAATCAAAGATTCACCAACCTCAAGCCTTAGCACCAAGAGAAGCAGCTTTGCATCAAGTTCAA